CGCGCTTCACTTTCAAGACAGATTTTATGTCATGCAAAAGAAGTAAAAGTACGTTTTTTAACTAATGCTTTGCAGAGTACGTTCGCCCGAAAAGCGTTTCCTTGCTGGGATGAACCTGCTTTGAAGGCCACATTTGACGTAACATTAGTTGTACCTGAAGACCTTGTTGCGTTGGCAAATTCGGTATGATTTATGTACAAATTGTATATTTTGACTTAATTTTAAATCTTAGGCAGAAGAAGTGGTGACTAGACTTGAAAATGGTTGGAAGGAGGTCAAGTTTTTACCAACGTGTCAGATGTCCACGTATTTGGTCGCGTTCGTCATCGGCGATTTAGCGTACGTTGAAGTAATATGAGTGACACTCTTATTTTCAAGTAAACTCATGTTTCTTCTGCTTCTCTAGGGACACACTGACGATGGCATTCAGATTCGAGTGTACGCCGACCCTAGTAAAGTGGATCAGGGCCGGTATGCCCTGGAGGTATGTATCATCTTTGGTCTGTTAACACGGCTTAGCAACCCTGGTAAACTTTCTAGGTTGCCCAGAAAGGCTTAAAATTTTACGGAGAATATTTTGGCATCAAGTACCAGTTATCAAAATGTGACCTTGTTGCCATTCCAGACTTCGCGATGGGTAAATTAACTATTAATCACTTTGTTAAAAGTTTGCGCTATATTGGAGAGCGCTTCCGCTAAGCTGCCGGAACCCTCTCAGCACAGTTTTGCCAAATTTGCATTTGTGCAACGCACGTTCCCTTTCAGTAATAGCAGACGAAAAAAATTGGGTCCTAGTAGACGAAAAAAAAAGTTTCGTATGAACTGGAAAGGCAATGGAAATGGTAAAAATGGAAATATTAAAACAAATAAACAGTCAGCATAGAGGGCGTCGCATACGGCGACGGCTATGAAGATGTAATGGATATGCTAACGTGTGGTGCTGTTATATAGTGAACACCTTACATCTTTACGGAAGAAGTTTTTAAGACATTAAGTTTTCCGATATGATGGTAAAAACATTGACCAGATGAACAGTTTTAATAACTCTGACGTTTCGGTTCACACCGCTGTGTCCGTGATGAAAATACAGATTCATGCATTGATGATAGACACTGTGGCGTTTTCCCAAGCGTCAGCGTAAATAAAAACATCATCTTTGTTTCCTTAACCATCCTATCGGAAGATCTGTCTTGAAGATTTTAGACATTGGCATTGATTCGGTATTAGTTTCAAAATATGCTTTGCTGCATGTTTACGTGCTTGTCTTATATGCCTGGCAGATCTGTAGGTGTTTTCTTGCCTTGTTACTAGGTTTCTTTTCAATCCTTCCCTCGCAAAATTTCAAAGTCCGTTCTCTAAGAAAGAATATTATAATCTGATGTCGAGTTATCTAACAGGACATCAAGAAAATTGCAGAATTTGAGGAAAGATTTAAGTTCAATAATAAATTCCGTAGTTTGAGT